CTCGCCCATTAGAGCTCATCTTACGCTGGTTATTCGCTTTTTATACATTTGTAACTCTGTCGGAATTTAATAAACCGAGTCATCAAAGTAAAATACCCTTTATAAAGTTTTATTTGAAGGAAGTGCATTTTTTTTTGTATTTTAGGTACGAGAAAGAATGTATTATACGAATTTTAAGAAAACAATAGAGAAAAATGAGATATAAGTAGTCTAAAAGTAAAGGTAATTTCAAACTTATTATTATTTTTAAATTAATTAATAAATTAATATAATATAATAAATACGTGTAAATATGATAGAACTTAATAGTATAGTAGTTAGCTAGTTAAAAATAAATTTAATAATAATGCATATTTGAAGTCGACTCGGTAGTTTTTGAGTTTATTTTGAACAAACATGCAAAAATATAAAAAAAATTATTCGTCTTAGTTTGGAAGTACTTCTTATGTTTACAACCTTGAAGAAACTACGAAGAAATAAAATGTAACAAACTTCTTAAGGAAAAGAATTCTCGAGTCACTAGCGCTGTTGTGAAGTCGCACTTTCACCAAATGGTAATGGAATCACGCCCGGGGTTAAATGTTTCGATTTATTCTTGAATCAACATCCCGATTTATTCGTTCGCATATTCTTGTTTGCTGGAATTTATGTCGTAATAATATATAATTTTATTTTTTTTCTTTTCAGACATATACTTAGTTAAAATGGTTAATTGAAGACGGAAAACAATTTGGGTTCAAACACTCAACCAACGTTTCATTACTGTGTAGTTTAGGCATATGTAAATACATACAAATATTTTGATTTATACATATAGATATAAAACTAATAACTTAGAAAATAAACTCAACTATTTTTAACTTAGTTCATAGCATAAACCTAAACCTAATAGTGATAAACTTACTAATATTATAAATGTGAATGTTAAAGATGGATCGATGAGTGTATGTTTGTTAGAAAGTATCTCCAAAACGGCTGCATGGATCTCGAAAAAATTTACAACAGATGTAGAACATAGTTTGGAAGAACACATAGACTACTTATTAAGTTTTTAATTTAGATTGGGTGACTGCGGATGACTTTTAATTTCTTTTAAAAGTAATTTGTTTAAAGTAATTGCCTTCTATAATTTGCTACAACTGCTCATAAATCTGTCAAAGTTTTAATTTAGTAGCGATTGCTCCTTGATATAATGGACGTGTTAAAGTGGTATTTAATTATATTGTTATTTATCGTAGCATAAAATAATTAATATAGTTTTTCATTAATTTATTAATAATATACTAGTTACTAGCCATGACTCCGTCCGCGCCGAATTATTAAACAGTAAATTGCCTATGTATCTTCTGTCTTCCAGACTGCGCTCCCATAAGCTTAATAAGATTGTTAATTTGAACTTTTTTATTATTTTTTTTGTAACATTGATAGTTGAATAAACAAAATGCTTTACATAAATAATTCATAAGCACATCTCACGTTCACGTCTTTCGCTGCAAAGGAATTTGTAATGTCAACTTATCTCGGAGGCAGCTAACTTGTGTACTTAAAACTTGTCTTAAGTAAGTTTCTTACTGCATTTAATATCTGTATTTACTAACTTATGTTGTGTTGATAAATATTTATGCACTTAAGTATTATTCATATCAAAATTATGTATTTTTTATTTTTTTACATTTAAATAGACATCTCTACGATTCAGCAAAATGTACCAGGAGACCATAAGATTAAGGTTGTTCATGATTTCTGTTAAAACAATTCGAAAAGGTTCTATTTAATTTTAAATTATAAAAACAAAAATATATATGTTGCCAGTATTACCGCGACTTCATTGTTCTGTAGAATAAATAATGTGCGCGTAGTTACATTATTTGTGAATTATTATTATTCAGAAACGAAATTAAACATGAGTCCTATTTAAATTCGGTCTGTCCTGGAAGTCATTTAAATTCATTAGGGACGCCGCAAATTTGAATATTTCATTTGTTTTATTATGCTTTGTTAGGATCAGAAATTTTCTATTAATAAATTGTATTTTTTAATCCAAAAAGAATGTAACTGATTAATATTTATTGCCAATTGTTACAGATAAAAAATATTATTAGGAGTTGAGTTATTTTACTTATGCTGTCAATTTGATCTTCATATGAAATTAGTAAAAGGGTCATTAATAAATAGACTTTAATGGAAGCCTAATAATATAAAAACGTTCAATCTAAATATTAATAACTAGCTGTCATCCTCGACTCTGTCCGCGCGGAATGAAAAAAAAACTTAATTAGTAGCCTACGTGTTCTTTCAGTCTATGTTCTATATCTATACCAAATGTCAGCCAATTCCATTAAGCTTCTAGAGATACCTTCCAACAAACATCCATCCATCTATACATCCACACATTCGCAATGATATTAGTAAGATTTATTGTGATATCATCATCAGCTCACTATACGTCCCCACCGAGGGGCTCGGAGCCTACCCTAAGTTAAGGGTGATTAGGCCATAGTCAACCACACTGGCCAAGTGCGGGTTGGTTGACTTCACACATATCTTTGGATTTCTTCTCAGATATGTCCAGGTTGCATCACGATGTTTTCCTTCACCTTTCCTTATTTTGATATATCTTTTAATATTTGCATAGTTATATATTTAGAAATTCCGTGAACATGTCGTTAACATGTGAATGTGCTAATTTTTATTTCATGTTCATGTTCTATATAAAAAGGTATGAAAAATGTTATATACATTTGAGAGCATAAAGCATAGAGCGATATCTCTGCATGGCCGAGGATTTGTTCGTGTCCGCGAGGAGCGCGTGACCGGACTCACGACCCACGTTTTACATATTATATACATAACTTTATATACAATGTTACATTTTACCTTTATTTTAAATACAAAATATATAATATAATATATTTAACATTTTAAAGCTATGATTCCACTAGCGTAAACTGTAAAAAATTAGTCTTATATTTGATCTGTCAAGTAACAGAGATAATCAGGTTTTAGGCATTAGAAACCCGAGGTTAAGGTTATAAGGTCTTGTTATTTCAAAGTAGATTTGTTATTTATAGGTCTTTAATCTTCCAAAAATGCAAATGAGATGATAAGAAACTAGCTATCGTCAGCAACTTCGTACGCCGAGAATTAAAAACTCAACTAGAGCCTTTGAGTTCCAGGTTATGTTCTCCATGCTTGCTAAATGTCAGAAATCTATGCAGCCGTCCTTAAGATGTTCTTAAGTTGTAACAAACATCCATCTTAACATTTATAATATTAGTAAGATACTACACTACTAGATTAGAAAAAGTCATTGGATCTCTTCTAACACTTGTCTTTTGTGTTTAAGAGATGTGTATATTAGAGAATCACCTTTATAAATATGCCAAACAGTATCAAAACAGGCGCACCACTAGAAACTCTTTGAATCCGTGATGTTGCATAATGTCTGTGCATAAATTTTGAAATATTTTCGAGGTGAGTTACGTTCGGACAATGCCTTTAAATTTTACAACAAACTATGTGGAATTGATCTGTGATAATCAAATAATAAGTTTGATTCTTAATAAAACACTATTGGAAATTTATAATACACGTCACGTGAAGTTCACGAATTGGTTCATATTGTTAGGAAGAAAATTCGACACTAAGCCGGTGTATTGGCGCAACACTAGCCTTACTAAAATGTCGACGTTTATGTCTCCTCACTAATCATATTGATACTTGACTATGTAACGAAAGCGCGCCATTCGCGCGAAATGATTCTTACTAATCTTATATATAAAATTCTCGTGTCACAATTTTCGTTCCCATACTCCTCGGAAACGGCTTGACCGATTCTTATGAAATTTTGTGAGCATATTGAGTAGGTCTGAGAATCGGCCAACATCTATTTTTAATCCCGCGCGGACGGAGTCGCGGGCGACAGCTAGTAATGTTTAAAAATATTTAAGCCACAAGTGGACACAATTGAACTCGCATATATAACAGACTTATGTACCCTATTTTATCAGTTAACAAAATATCTATTACTCTTCTCTCTTTTCGTATCGCTTGCCAATGACAATTAAATAATATTAAATGGAAATGTCATTTAATTTTTGTTTGGAATTTTATTGATATATTTTTAGCCATTTTTCAATTATTGTAGTATGTTTTTTGATAGACATTTCCAGTAAAATATGTATGCGTTTCGTAGATCGATGTTGCAACTGACAGCGATAGTATGTTATCTCTGATAGCTTTTTGATAGAATCTTTATTGAAAATCATTTTGTTAAAAGAACAATAGAAACTTTGATTGGACAGACAATGAAAGTGTTAAATCTTAAAAAGAATTGTTTGAAAGAAATGTTTTATATTTGGTTTCTTTAAGTTTTATTTTACAAAAAAATACTGCGAAATAATCCGTTAAACATATGACAGAAATGTTTTTATAAACTTATATTTTTAGTGAGTCTATACATGGTGTATAAAAAGATGTTAGAAGAGAAGAAGATCAATATTGTTGTTTACGATTACGACACTGGAGACCCACCTTTATATGCTTTGTATGTAACCGTAAATTTGTTAATGAAATAATAAAACAAACAATTACCGTAATGACATCGAAATGAAAACATCGTTAGAGTTAATTGCATTTAATTTATTATCATTAACGTCGATGTAACAAACTCGTTATTGGAAATATGAAATCATACTGTATTATAGTTTCTGTCGATACAGCTAAACAAACATATTGTTGTCCCTCTCACTCACTGTGAGAAAACAGAGATAGCAGTATGTTTATACAGACGTCTCGAAAGTTGAAATTTACGGTAACTTAACACGTTTAAGGTAACTCAAAGAGCCGTACATTGAAAATGGTTTTTAGTTAAACATTCTTGTTTAAAATTCGGATAACTCTTTATTACTAACTCTACGATTATAGTGAAAATTTATTTAATAGTGAAATATTTGCTATATAATATTTTGAATGCATTGTTTATACTTCTTGCACAACATTTATTTTCTTTGATTCAATACAGCAAAATAAGAATATGACATTCGTAAAATCTGAAAAAAAAATGTTTAGATTTTTAAAAAATATCTTCAAGTAACCTTAAATAAAAATATGTCTAATCAATCTGTCTAGTATGAATGAATGAGTTGGCACGTCAGGTAGATGCTTACGATTGTAGTTGACGTGCCAAATGAAACATCAGACTTTACATTTGAATACTTACAGAAACAAAAGTCTGTCTCGATAGTGTTACATAATGTCCCGCTTTCAACACTATTGGTCTGCTCATACGCATCATCACGAAGTACAGAGCTCGCTTAAACTTCACATCCTGTTCATACCATGCACATTTATACAAAACTGTATGGAGATCTTCACTCTGTATAAAGAAATGTAACACGTTATATGCCAATATCGCTGTCACGTTTGTACAAAAAATAGCATCGAATGTGTTAAATTACAGTTGCAGTAAGTTCGTGTCCACACCAACAGCTGACGAATAGTTGACTTATCATGACTAACAAGTACGTCACTATAGAAGCGAACTGTAAACTGCGCCAATCCACCTGGAATAAGAACAGGAAAAGAAGAAGAGAAGAGAAGAGACAATAGAAATAAGAGATATTTAATTTCAGCATTTAAGATTTTTTTTATAATAAACTAGCTGTCGCCCGCGACTTCGTCCGCATGGGATGAAAAAAAGGTTTCTAAAGCGTTTTCCCTGCAATTATTCGAATTCTCCTTCCTCCCTGAAATTCAAAATGACCTCCACGAACATTTCAAGATCAAGATAAGAAAAATCCGAGACTAACAAACTAGAGTTTGACCACAACCGCACATGATGGTAAGTAGTGATCAGGTCAAAGGATAGTAGGGCCTAGCTTAGTAAATACCTATTCACGCTTCTTTGTAAGACATCTGCGTTATAGGAAGGAGACACCGACGTCGGCGACATATTACAATGCTTTGAGATGTATATAGCTGTCTCTTTCTAAATCCTTATTTACACATATTTTTCTTCTCTTTCAAGTAACAAAATATAGTACCTAAAATAACGCGTTCAAGTAGTTTTATTATCAATCCTCATTTTATTAAAGATTTTGTTAGTTATGTTTCACCAAATTAGTTCCAAAATATCGTCGTATATTGGAACATGGAGTAATTTAAAAAAAAAACTCAAATATTGCAAACTGCCGCGATCCCAATCGATGACCTATTGCGTAACAGTATAGGTTACGAGGTCACTCGATCTTTTATTTGTTACAATAGACTTTTGTATTTCGAAAACAAAGATCGTAAATACGTGGATATTTTTAAAAATTCTCTTACCACTGATATACGTAGAGCGGACATACAAATAAGACCAACGCTGCCAATCAATTGAAAGAAGAGAAATGTATGGAATGCGTCTTCAACTAATTTGGTAAATCTAAAATTACAAAAGTATTTATATTACTAGCTGTCGCCCACGACTCCGTGCGCGGCCTTTGTGTTCAACCAGACTATGCTCTACCTCTATGCCAAATTTCATCAAGATCCATACAGTCGTTTTGGAGCTATCTTCAAACAAACATCCATTCATCCATCTAAATGTTCGCATTTATAATATTAGTAAGCAGTAATAATAATTGCTTGTAGTATTTTATTCACTGAAGCGTTATAACAGTGATTAAATCTGAATTGTAAAATTTTTTTTAACCGACTTCAAAAAGGAGGTTTTCAATTCGTCTGTATTTTTTTTTATTTATTACTCAATTTTAAACAAGTTCATATAAATTAAAGTGGGCCTAGTAAGAATATATATCACTATATATCACTATCGTCATCGTCAGTTGTGTTAAAATTAGTATGAGATTTTTGTTTTACCTTGACGCCGATAGGGGGCGCTGTATAAGTTTTAATACTTTGTCGATGACAATACGATAGCTTGATACAGATTATGCCAAGCACACTGAACGCGAAGAGTATTTGCAAAGTATATAAATAGAAGTGTGTACTTATATTAATTTAATTAACGTTAAAGTTGCTAACTTAAACGATACTTACGACACCACACCTTGATGTTGTTTTATACATTCTATTAGTTTAAGATAATTTTCCTTTGAGTATTTATTACGTTCACTTTGTTCAACATTTTTAAATGATTTTATCTGTAAAAATATTATTACATTTCACATAATATGAGTTTTTAAGATATTTATAAAACAGCGGTGACGTCATAGAAATAAGTTCTCATGGTTTGGTGGAAGAATATTAGCCAAATAAAAAAAATAAAGTAGCTTTGATAAAAAGCATTAGGATTACATTCATCATCAGCTCACTATACGTCCCCACCGAGGGGCTCGGAGCCTACCCTAAGTTAAGGGTGATTAGGCCATAGTCAACCACGACCACTACCACTAAGATATGTGCAGGTTGCATCACGATGTTTTCCTTCACCGCAAGAACATCGGATAAATGTACATATGTAAATCGGAAATCGAAAAACACATTGGTACATGGCGGGATTTGAACCCCAGGAGCTGCAGATTGCAAGTCGAGTGCTTGACCCCTGAGCCACCGACGCTCCAAGGATTAGGATTACATACTATTTTTTAAATGTTTGAGCCGTTTGAATACAATAGTACGTGTCAAGTACTTACTTTCAAAATTTTGTCTTTGATTATATCAATTTGTGCGCAACCAAAAATAACCATAGACAATGCAACGCTGTCAACGCCGAAGTACATATAGGCACTCATACATATTGTTACCAGTTGGAAAGCATAGCCCAGCTCGTATTGCAGATAATATTCCGGTTTTACAGGCATCCTAAAATAGTTTTAATTATAAATAAAGTATCACTTTGGGTGATAACAAAGCCGTGGTCATTTTATTATAGAGAAATAAGGTGACGACGGGTTTGTTTTAAATTACAATTGATTCTATATTTTTTTTATTTCATAAGGTTAGAGTTTAAAGGTGGCTTGCCACATGACACGCGACTTTTAATTTTGTTTAACAATCATAGCCGCGTCATTGGAGATAGGCACAAAATTCCGAAGAGGGCCGTTAACAGTCACCAATGACTAGCTATTAACTAGAGTTAGGCGTTTACAATCTATTATATTTAGTAGATAATATTGCTTCATAATTTGTAAATGACGTGATAAATAGTAATCCAAAATATAAGATACATTACCACATGTCAAAGGGAAATTTGCGGCTTCCTGCGTCATCAAACAAGGGTTTGAGCGCCCACAGGCCGCACGTCGTCTGAGAACTTATCATAAAAGCCAATAGCAACCTTTTGATACGAACAGCGTGCCATTTTAAGATCCTATAAAAATATTGAAACTAAACTCAATAAAGCCTTTGTTATGTTATTTATGTACATACTAGCTGTCGCCCGCGACTATATCCAAGTGGAAAAAAATAAAAACTTAAATACTAAAGCTAATGTGTTCTTCCAGACTATTCTGCGTCAAGCCGTTCTGGAGATACCTTCTAACAAACATCCAAAATAACGTATTAATAATGTAAGTAAGATTATTTGGTCAACATATTTAAGAGTTTTCTTATTGCTACAATGAAAGTTTTTAAATGGTCTCCAAATATTTTTTTTTTTACTAAAAATAAATCTACACTAAATACCGCTTATCCAAACATTAAACCACTGTGCGAGACAGATATAGTCATGGCAATGCAGATATACCTAACCGATACATAACTTATAACATGAAGTTTCAATTACAGTATACATTGGACTTTACTAATTGTAACAGCAAAAAAGTGCTTATTTATTTGCGAGATCATGCTTCTAGATTACAGAAGATGTTAATGATAATTATGTTAATGATAAAAATGTTAATGATGTTAATGATTACAGAAGATGTTAATGATAATTATGTTAATGATAAAAATTTTAATGATGTTAATGATTACAGAAGATGTTAATGATAAAGACGTTAATTTTCACTTTACCTGTCATGTTCATCACAAAATGATATAAAAATATCACCATTCATTCGTTCCAATAATTCTCTAACCATGGATATATTAACTTGAAATACAGTCACTTTTAAACATAAACAAGCTTGTGTGAAAAGTAAATACGACGCTTGTGATACAGCTTCAAGATCGCCCCATACTTGAATAATGTATATTATTTGAAATATTAAAAATAAATACTGTAACATCATCATAAAGGTTCTATAAATTCTATGGAGTGTTGACTCATTTTGATATGGTACCCACACCCCTAAATATTTCATCACGAACTTCGCTCTGTTCAAATACATATCTTCTGATTTCATTCTTCAATACAATAACTTCGGCGTCTTTATACTAATAGGGTTGCCATTCGACTACTTTTATCTTGTTATATGTATGTATAAACAATCTTTGTCTATTAAAATGATTGTATAATAAGGTAATTTTGTAAAATACCTAACTGAGTTGTTACATCGTTTCAGTACAATTACGTTGGAGTGTGTTATTACAATCATTTAATGATGTTTGTTTTATAAACGTTCATGGATGTCATAAAGTAAATTACAAAGCTTTAATAAAAAAATCTTATTAAAACTTTGATATTAATGGGGAAGAAAAATCATTAATCAAGTCCTAACTCGTCGAAATAAAAAAAAGATTATTCAAATTTTCAATATACATATGTAAGTGTGTTGATAAGTAACCGATAAATAAGTTGCGATCTTGGTCAAGCATTAATTTATTCGGTATAAAATCCTCCTAAATACAGTTTCGTGGAATGCAATGAGTGCGTCGTGCAGTTATAAATATGCAGCATTACATGCGGCGTGTGGAAGGTTAATTAATGAATGTAACATGCGCTTGCGGGGGCAATTCGCGCTGCAACCGCATTGCAACCGCATCTATACGTCCACGGTTCACCGTTCGTCGTTACAGGATAATTTGCACAAATTTAAATTGCGATGAGTAACAAGCACTTAATATATATATTTTTTTTATATCATAAGGTGGCAAACGAGCGAGCAGCCACCTGAAATCGCTGAAATAGCGAAGTGACCATTGCCCATAGACAAACGCAATTGCATATGCGTTGCCTACCTTTAATTGTCGGAGAGGATGCACAGAGAGAAAATATCTTCCCTTTCCATGCATCCTCACATTGGGAAAGTACACTTCCACTTCCCACATCCTTTCCTTATAAGAAAAAGGGTGGGAAGGGAAAGCGGACTCAATTAGGCCTCCGGGACGCACACTCTTCAGATGAAACGTGGAATTGCTACCACTTAACGCCTGTCTACAGTGTGGTCGTGGTATTTCACCGGGCGAAGCGGGCCAATTTGTGCGAAGATGTTAAAGCGGACTCTACCACTGCAAAAAAAATTAAAATTTCGGCGTAACAAAAACTACGGAAAGATTTTATTTGTATACTCGGGTCGCTATATTTAAGCAGCTTTCTGTTGTGAACTATACTCTTATTATCAAACGATCAATGTCCGTTTCTAAACATGTATTACGGATTCGATAGTGGTTTGGACAATCCACAGTCGGTGTTGCCGACAGATACGGAACCTCTTTACATGTTTTTTAATCATAATTTTTATATTTTTGTATTTGGAACTTTATATATTTTTCCTTCCTTTTTGCCTATGTATTTTAGATCGGTTGTAAATATATCCTCTAACAGTATGTGCTTATCTCTTTATTTTCACAATTCTATTTTATAATTTCATTTTGTCTTTTAATTTTATTATATAAATTCCAAATTTCATCTTAATCCAACCGCTCTCCATCCTCATATTTTCCGTCGTCTTTAATCGGCGCGAATCTTTGGTCCGTAAGCTTTTTTCATACTTATCAATTTATAATAATCAAATCATATGAAAACCAGCAGTTAAAATGCTTTCTTAATATTCATAATATTAGAACTAATATTAGAAATCTGAACGTTTAGATGGATGGATGTTTGTATGGAGGTATCACCGCAACGGCACAATAGATCTGGCTGAAATTTGGCATAGATGTAGAACATAGCTTGGAGGAATACATAGGCTTATTAGTTTTTTTTTAATTCCGCGCGGACGGAGTCGCAGACGACAGCCAGTTGTAATATAAATCATAATAATATTAACTTACGAATCAGCATAAAGATTATTTTCTTTGTTTTTTTTTTTAATGTAATGTTATACGTCTCAAGGACGCTAGATTATTATTATACTACGAAAATTTGAGCATTGATAAACAAATGTTAATTTAATTTAATAAACTTTGTTTGTAAAGTTAATTAAAGTTTAATGTAAATAAAAGTGTAAAGTAATTACAAAATCAAATCCAATTAGTATACATTAATGAACAAAGATTAATTTAAACAGAATTTTAAAATTCTTGGAAGTTAAAGTTGGTTAGTTTTTTTTTTTAAATATTATAACGTGTCAATAAGCAAGCGGCCACTTTACTGGACATTTAATTATTCTTATAATATATATGATTATAACTACTATTGACCAACAGTTTGATAATCAGATTTATTTCTCTTCTGTTTATCTATCTTAAGCCACTGGCCAGCGTGGTTGACTATGGCCTAGTCACCCTTAACTTAGGGTAGGCTCCGAGCCCCTCGAGAGGGACGTATTGTAAGCTGATGATGATGATCTATCTTACTATAGTGTGTCTATGATAGATTAGTTTCACATTTTACTAGACATGGGTTGAGTAAAATCGATTAAGAGTTTTTCGATGGTTTTTCTCATATAATTTACAGTCGAAAATTTCCTGATAATTTGAATTACAACATCAAAAAAATTGTTTCTTTTATTACTATTTTATTCTTTAAAACTACAAAAAGAAATAAGACATTTAAACTTTCATTACAAAAGTTATAAAATATTTAAGGTATGGTACTTATTTATTTAAGGTAAGATTTGTATTATAACAAGACCGATTGTCGATAGTTCATCGTTGTTAGTTATTCGATTACGGACCGACACTATGACAACATATATGAAGTATATTATAAAACCTCATACAAAATTAATTCGATACTTCATAGGTTAGGTGTCAAACTAATCTATCTTAAATTAGCTGTCGCCCGCGACTCCGTCCACGTGTATATAAAAAACTTAATATGTAGATAAGTTAAATAAAGGCAGCTCTTCAAGGCATAAATTTGAAAAAAAAATATAAAAATGCCTATGTCCGTCTCCTGGCTCTAAGCTACCTCCTCACCAATTTTCAACCATATCGGTAAAGCCGTTCTTGAGTTATAAATAGTGTAACTAACACGACTTTCTTTTATATATATATATGTAGATAGAATCACTATATTAAAATGGCAAGATGTCGTTTGATTTTTTTTGGTAAAAAAAATCATTAACAAGTGAAATAGTGGTTCACATTTCGTAGCCAAAATAAACCGCTGACGAAATGCCAAAGGAAGCTATTATAAAAATGTGCGAGGGTTTGCTTATTTCAAATTCTATTCATAAAAAGAAGGTCTTTATTTTAGTGTTAACGGATGAATGCTTCAACAGTTCCTTTGTGTTACGTGTTAAGGTTTTATAATAAAATAAAACTGTGCTACTGAAAAAAACTACAAGTTATAATACCTGTTTATAAAATAATATTTCTTATTTAATTTAGGGAGACTAGACTATATAACAATAACTTAACTCATGTCCGTAACCCAGAGGGGTAGGCAGACGCCACAGACCACTTTTTAGGTCACTTTTTACTCAAAATTTCATGAGAATCGGTCAAGCCGTTTCGGAGGAGTATGGGAACGAAAATTGTGACATGAAAATTTTATATATAAAATACATGAACGTCGGTTTCACTATTACTTTAATAATAATTATGTATATATTTTTATAATTGTTTGCCTAAAGAAGGTATGTAACATAACTTAAATAAGTTATGTTTAATCGGTGCTTATATTTTTAGTATATATAGCTTATATTTAGTTATAGTAGTTTCTTGGTAAGTTGTCAGTGTAAACTGGTTCTAAAGTATCTTAGAACTGTTTTATTTGATCGTTACTCGGAAAATTATTAATTTAAATAAGAATAAGTGTGTTTTCAAATATTCAAACATTATTTTTCAATTTAATTATCCGAGACTTATTAATCCTTGAAGTTTACAAAGGCGAAACTGGCACCCTAAGGTTTTTCTTTAAATTTGCTTAAGATACCGTGAAATTAATTGGGGGACTGAATTGTTTGCACTCTCAATGAATTAAATTGGAAATTTTGAAATGAAATTCAAAATAAATTAAATGATTTGATAACATCGTAAGAAATTAGGTCGTAATTTCTTTTATACATATATTTATGAACTTTAATGACCCCCTATATATATTTTGATGTTATAAATTTTTCACAATTATAACAATAAAAACATCGTCGTCGGTAATGTACGCCAATAGATGTGTTAGGCTTGCAGTGCTACGGTACTACAAATCTCTGTAGCGCCGTAGCACTGTAGACCGTCGCCACGTAGCCACGTGCTAATGACATACTATTAGTCAATTTGACCGCGACAATCTGTGCTAATTAAGAAAATTAATGTTGTCATTTTTCAGTTTATACCACTTTTATAGGACAAGGTGATAAAAGCAAAAAATAGGATATACCTAAATAGAATTTATGAACCTTCGAGTAATCATTATATGAACAACATTATAGACTCTAGCCTTCATCTGTTACTCGATGTGTGTGGGTTTATCACGAATAATTGCGATATGAGCTTTCGTAATATTGTCGACAAAATATCATTGTACTTTACGCCCGATTATATAATGTATTACAAATATTGTCGATGTCGATACAAATAATTTCGTACCATTTTCGTGATATGCCCTCAGTTTTAACGATAATTAGTAAAAATAAATATATTATTATATGTAATTACATGAACTTGTATGATGATGATAATAAAAATTGAATCATGAAACTGTAAGTGGTCAAAAAGTACGAACCTATTTATGTTTATATTGCTTCGAGAAATACTATATAGACAAAACGTAGGCTAGGTAGGTAAAAGGTAGGCTAGGCTAGATATGAAAGATTGTAAATCAATTTATTGTGGAATGCGTATATATTGAACATCAAAATACTGTTATTGAAAATGTATTATCACAAGATTTTTCCATACCAGAAAAGAAATTTATGCGATAACGTCCCCTGGAAATTGCTTTTTCCTTTTTCCTTATTCATTAGATTTATAGCCTACTTTCGACGTACAATATATTTTTGTTTTCTCTCGTGTTCATAATTAAAATAACGCAATAGGTTTAATAAAATTTATAATATTTTAAAAAAAGTGTAATTAT